GGCAACGGCGGCAACGGCGGCAACGGCGGCAACGGCGGCAACGGCGGCAACGGCGGCAACGGCGGCAACGGCGGCAACGGCGGCTCCTCCACTGCCCTAAAAGCACACTCACTTCTCTGCAGGATCTTGAGGCTTCCCTACATTCTGTTTTTCTAGAATTTGCCTGTGGTGAAGCACAAGTTCAAGCTAAATCACCTCCCGGTGGATGGTGCCAGAAGGCAGGTGCAGCTTATACACTAATTTTCGTGTTTGCTCTATGCCAAGTCAGCCTTTTCAATAGGCTGGCTGAGTTGCACTGGCTTGTTCTGCCGGCAGATGAATAGTGTTCAGCAGAACAGCTAGGGTCAGGAGTCTTTCCAAACAGTTATTTACTCACTGCTACCCTGTATAGTATAGCCATGCCCTTGCACATCAGTAAATTACTTTTTCTTGTCTTGTTTCTCTACTAAAGCTCGCCATACAGGCGTTACAGAGCTCATCATCGTTCGGAAATGGCTTGTCCAAAAAAYATAAAAAAACCTGGAAAGTTGGAGTCTAATCCATAGTCTGGCAGTTACAAGACTCCTGCTTCCTCTCAAGCATTAGCAAAGGACAACAAAAATCCCATGGGATACAAACAATGCTTTTCTGCTATGAAAGATACAGTAAATAAACCACTTTGTAACTTGAACCTCCAAAACAGTAACCTCTAGAGTAAAAAGTGTTGCACAGAAGGAAAAAAAGCTTGGAACACAGGTCATCATCATAAAGAATTTCATAGCTCCCACGCAACCTCGTGCCCATCAGGTCCAACACCACCTCAGTTCCCCGCCACATTCCCAGGATCCCACAACGCTGGCAGTGACTCATTAGCAAAGCAGGCTAAAGGGAACTTCAGCCAGAAGTGAGCTCCAGACAGTGCTCCTCCATCCTTTCTCCCTGAAGCCTGAGCCCAGAGCACAGGGCTCTGTGCTCCATTTGCGGTCAGCCCGCTCCTTCCCAAGCCGTGTGCAGGTATCGGCCAGCRCCGTGCCCGAGCCTGCCAGCCTGGGTGCGCTTACGCGACCCGCCAGCCCTGCCCTTCCACWGTGCTGGCTTCACCCGCCCCCTGAAGACCCACAGCAAAAGAACACGACAGCAAGTTTTTCTTTTTAAAAAGAGAACATAACTTTATTAGAAATCTCACAGGTAGGAGTTCTCACAAGGACACAGTGACTTCGGCACAAGTTCACACCTTACCAATAGCCCCCATAGCCACCAGAGCTATAGGGACAGCTCAAGGCTCCCATTCTCTCCTTTTTTAATCTCCTCAGCCACCTTACTCTACCCCCAGCCAAGGCAGCTATCAGCACTGAGCAGTCGGGAGATAAGGGGCCTGGAGGAGCTCCCCAGGCCCCATCACCACAGCAGGGGTATTCCTGTCACTCCTCTCCTCTACACCAGGGCAAATACAGTATGGTCGGGCAAGAGCCACACARGCAATTTCAGAGGGTCTTTAATTCCTCCTTGTATTATGAGCAGCATGTTAACTGCTTGAAGATATTCAGTCCTTCAAGAAAGATATTTAAACAATGKTTTCAGAAAGCAAGAAGGAGGGAAAGTCAACTAGCCCTGCTAAACCAGAGGGAAACACAGGTCCATTTGTTTCCCAGGTGCGAGGCCGTTAGAGAAATGATGTCTGGACTGCAGCCTAAAATGCAGAGAAATTCACATTAAAACCCCAGGGGGAAAAGTCAGAATACAACTCTGAAAAATTAGGCACCCTGAAAACYGGGCTAGACTTTGAGATCTACCGGTACAGAACAGATGGCACACTAAGATCCATATCACCATTACTCCTAAAAATATCATCACTTATTTGGCTCCTGTTAATGTTGAATTAAGTTCAAGTGATCTGCAAGTGAGGCAGCCCCAGCATCAATACAGCATCCAGGCAGACCTCTTCTCTGTCATCTCTCAACTGACAGATATCTTCATTTWTGAAAACACTTCAAAACCAGATGAAACTCTGCTTATGGAGTTTATTGGCACAAGTCTCATTCTTGGTGGTTTTCACAATATACCATCAAGTACAAGAGCACTAGAATTAGTTCCAGAGAAGCAGCAAAACAGCACCTGCTTTAATGCAAGCATTTTAAAAAGGAAATGTCATTAAAAACATTGAGGTAAAACACTTGTCTTAGYTGAAATATCATCATGCACTCAGAGGAGGGCTTACACAGTAAGGTAGTACTGCCTCCAAGAAGATCATTAAAAAAATATATAGGCACTATGCACTTATAGTTTGTGGACTGAAAGGCTCTGGCATTACCATCCTATTAAAAACTCTACTACAAGTAGAAACTCTACTACAAGTTGGGAAATCAGCACAGGTYTGTTGCCTTGCCAAGCCCCTCATTTTTTCACTTGAAACCCTCTTCAGTTGGCCTTCCCGAGTTCCTAAAGCCCATCCACCTCTTCCAGGGGTAGCAGAGCAGTATCAAAGTCCATTTCACATCACTTCTAGCTGCTCTTTTCACAGCAGTAGGATTCAATAGCCAGGGCTCTCTCCCAAAGGATGGTCTTCCACAAATACAGTTAATGAGCTGCCAAGTGCCCATTAGTTCTCTCAGATGCATTCATATTGCTCGTACTTTTCCAGGAATTGCATTTTTTTAGTATTTTCCTCCTAACAAAACCGCAGATTTCAACCATGAAGCCCAAAGACACAATGTACATAGCCAGGCCTCCAGCCTTAAGGAGCCAGATGGGATCAGGAGAAGTCACCATTGCGTACATGATCACAGCTCCTCCCACGATTCGCAGCACCAGGAAGAGGAGCACAAAGAAAAAATCCACCACTTCTCCCAGGATGCTGTAGTAACACCCCATTTCTCGCAGAAACCACCGGGTCTGCAGCAGCGGGTTGGTGATCTCACTAACAAATACAACAGCATTGACTTCTGTAGCAGACTTGCCAAGCCCCAGCACCATAATCATGCCGCAGATGCTCAGCGTGTGATGGAGCAGCATTAGGTCCCCCTCTGTCTGGAAGTACAGGCACCAGCCCAGGTCAAAGATAAAGTAACCCAAAGTCAGGGACAGCACATGAGTCTGAAGAGATGTGTTTGGTGAACCTGAAATGAAAAACGTACAGAAGCCTGAGGTGTTAAAAATAATAAGTGTATATGCCTCTCCTCATCATTTTCCCAACTTATCCCACAGGCCAAGGGGGGTACCTGATTCCATTGCTTAATTTTCAGATTTGGCTCTGCTTATCAGACCCCAAGGTCCTTCTGTCCTTCCCTTGCTCTGTTCTCCCTCTTCTCTCTGCCCTTTTAGAAAGCAGGAATGGGTAGCCTGGCCYCACCAGCAGAACTATTTTAGATTGAACGATAGGAGACAGTAAACACAAATACGGACAAATGCTAGGAGTTATTATAGCCTCAAAAGAGTTAAAAGTGTTTAGTCTAGTCCACACTGCCACACCTAAATCTGATGCTGTGTTAAAGTCAAGCTGCAAATGTAAGAGCTCTCAAAGGGTGTGTGGATAAAAACAACATGCCRAAGAAGAGACAAACAGTAAATAGTAAGGTTTGAAAGGGAAGCAGGACAGTTTGGCCTCATTCGCCCAAAACACACATAGAAGAGAATAGAATTCAAGAAACAGCAGACCSTCACTCTGCTTCTAATAGAAATGGAGACAGCATTACTACTCCCACCRTGTGACGTACTGCTATGAGCTAGGACCCCAAACATACCTGCATGGGTTAGAGGCCAGGGGCCATCAAGGAGAGCGATGTAACCCGAGAGGCAGGTGACYACCACACCATGCAGGAGAGTGACCAAACGGCAGTTCCACTCACAGGAACGCTGCTTGTTCCAGAAGCGGAGGGCAGCATACAGGGAGAGCCAGGCAAGCAGGCTGCAGGTCACCTCCAGAATGATGGAAACCATCCTGCTGGTTAAGAAGCACGGGGAAGTTGTGACCAGAGCCCTATCAAGCACAGGGTGTTCACMCAGCTCACAGACCTCCTTTATCAGCCACCAGTCACAAACAGGAGCCCAAGAAGAGGAAAACAACCAAACAAAAATCAAAACGAGCTCCATATCCATCCCATAAACCAGAAGAGGTCCTCTCCTCCCCTTGCATCTGCCTCCTGCTTCCCTACAAGCCCTTTCCGGACATGGCAGACCCGTTGGCGATCCCCAGAGCGAGCAGCGCCCCTGCCCTGGGGTTTCGCTCCCCAGGTCCGGGACAGTCGGGCAGGGGACCCCGCGGGGACCCGGCGCATCCCGGCCCCGGCGCTGCCCCGCGGCCGGCGGCGCCGCTCCTTACCCGCTCCCGGCCCAACCCGGCTCCGGCGCCGCCGGCCGCCACCGCCCGCGCGGGCTGCGGAACCGCCCGGACAGGGCGGCGGTGTCGCCGCCCCGGGAGCTTTTATCCAACCCGGCCCGGCCCCGGCCCCGGCCCCCTGCCCGCCCTCGGCCCGCCGGGCAGCGGCAGAACCGGCTCCCGGGGGCCACGGCGGGGCCGCCAGGTCCTGTCAGCCCCGCGCAAGGCGACCTCGGCTGCGCCGCATGTCCTGCTCGCCGCTGATGGGGAATGAAGGGCAGAACGAAGCTGAGTCAGGCAGGAGGGGAGGTGCTTTTATCCTCGTTAAGGGAAAAAAAAAAAAAAAAAAAAGAGAGAGGGAGAGAGAGAAACAAATAAACAACCCCTTTACAACTCGCTTTTTGCAGCCCTCTTCTCTCACGTGTTTTACCCAGTTTTGAATAAAAGAGCAGGCTCCTGGTGATCGCTTGTATGTTGCCCTGTGCTGAGTGCAAAGAGGGAAGGAGGCTGAAAAAAGAGTGTGAGTTCGGGACTGTCTGGGAGTGGTGAGGGATGTGCAGGGAGATGTGCCCCAAAACATGCCAAACAGGAAGGTCTGTGCTGAAGCAGAGAGCCAGGCCCACAGAGCCAGGGATGAGTAACCAGGAAAGGGCTCCGCTCCCTCCAAGCGTGGGGTGACCAGCTGCACGGCCACGTGCTGTCAGCCGGGAGCCCTTTGTGTGTTGCTGTGGGCTCTGTTAGATGAACACAGAGAGCAGAGGGCTTTCCAGTGGGTCTAAAGCTTGGGGTCCACACAGTGAACTCGCTGTTAGTACCATRTAAGCTCTGTTTATGCAGTTTGCTCAAAAAAAGCAAAATAAAAAGACCAAAAGGAAATTCTGTGTTCCAAACAAGCTCAAATCTCCCTTGCAGTCAAAGAACTCCACATAGAGAGTAAAATCAATCACTCAGCACTTAAGAGGGGCCTGATCTAAGGCCACTTGTATGAGCTCTGCAATTCATAGTATATACTGGATATTATGAAAGGTCATGCTGACTGATTAGAGTATGTTTCTAGTTAGACTGCAGATTATGCTGTTGTACTCTGGCGAAAGCTACCTGATTTCCCAGCACCAGCATTTGGCCCCCACTCCGGAACAAGCCCCCAGTTGGGCAGTCAGGGAGACGAGGGCACAGAGACAGGGAGTCCCCCTTCAGCTCTAGCAGGAGTTACTGGCTTGAGCTCCTGGAGCCAACAGAAGTGAGCCTAAATCTAAGCTCTGCTCCAAAGACATCGTGTAGGTGCACTAGGATCTGTGCCAGGTCTGCCAGGAAGACAGGCCCCAGGGCTGTGCGCTTCAGGAATGGCGAGGGTGCTTGATGGGAGCATTTGAACACTGAGAAATGCTTGAAGACTTCCTTCAGGTCACAGAGAAGACTGAGATGGATGAAAAGCAGGACCTTGTACTCCTGTCTCACAGTTAGTTTTCTCACAGATAGAAAACATGAAGAGAAAGAGGAATAAACAATAAATGAAATAAAATACTAGCAGCGAGTTGTTCCAACTTTCTTAGGTGCTGTTAAACATCATACCAGGGCCTGACCTTCTTGCTCCTGGTAATCCCCTTCCTGCCTCTTTCACAAGCTCACTCAAAGTTCTGGGACTGATACAGCAGTTATGTGGAAAAGTTGCCTTGGTTTTAGTCATTAAGATCTGGTTTTAGCCTGTCCTACACATGTTCTAACACCTGCAAACAGGGACAAATGCTCCCGACTCTCCTCTCTCTCATATTCTGAGGAAATCACCTCAGTTGCCTCTGGCTGAGATGAATAGGAACAGTGTGAATTTTTCTGATAGATCATTAGTTACAAAACCGTATCATGTCCTTAATTTGACTTTGGAGCTAAATGACATCTAGCATACCAGAGAGCTCGCAAAAGAGCAGAGCATAGATAAAAACAGGAGGTCAGAGGAGCTGCACTCCTTATATTCCCAGGCAGTAGGGATGGTACCCAAAGAGATATTTTGGACAGGGAAACCTGGCTCTTCACCCACTCTTGGGCTTCGTGTCAGTGATGCTCAAGTCCCAGAACGTGGAGGAGGTCTTCTTGAAGGAAACCATTGGGACAAAGAGCACAAGGCAGATTTGGGGGACTTGGGCTTCTTCAGTTGGGATGAGGCAGCTCATGAGACTGTGTACACATGGGCACTGTGAGCCACATCTACCTGTGAGCAATAGCTTCCTGCATTGCTTCTCTATGCTGTGGGAGGTGACACTAAATCTTGGAAAGCTGGAATTTCCTGCCTAGGATTTTTTTGATCCCTTGCCACTGCTGCTGTGAGACAGGGCTCATTCCTAGAAATAGGGGAACGTAGACCTTTTCCTTGCAATTGTGGCTTTGTTTTGTTTGTGAAACAGGTGCATGGCCAGTTGCTTGCGTAGCTTTTCCTATTCAGGATTGTTTATCACCAAACTTGAGAGCTACTTTACTGTGTTTGTAAACTTTTCAGTGGGTATATATTCTCATGGTGTGGTYGCATAGCACCTGGCACAGCCTGGCTTTGATCTCAGCTTCAGTACAAACACACAGATGCTGTTGCCCAGCGTCTAATATGTTTGTAATTCACCTCCCTGGCTTTGAGAAATCATCTTCCTAAACGTACGCAGGGCTGCTTTGGTGAGCAAATTAATTAGAGGAAGTTCTGGAAATAGTATGGGATGATACCCAGTAGTTTGGAAGCAAACTGTGATCTTGCTCTTTTTTTTTCCAAATTATAAAAATATGTCTATTTACAGCACTCAGAAATTGTTACTGTAAACAGTAACTGGCTTTTCACAATTTTAATCTTCACTGCCTTTTTTACTAACAGACTCACAAACATTTGTGATCATGTACCAAGGGCTTTAGCAAACTGTCTCTGAAGTCACTGAGTTGCAGCTCAGATAACAGATATAGGATTCATATAGAGAATATCATGTAAATTTTGCATGCTCTTAGCATATATATAAAGGGAATCAGAACAGTCACTTTTCAGCTTTTAAAACAACAGTTTTGGTCTATGAAATTGTTTGAGATTTTTCATAAGTGTAACTTGGAAACTAGAGCTTTGCCTACAAGTAAGTGTAATATAGCATCAACTGCCATCATCACATGAACTCTTCTACTGTGCATGACTTGAGGTCTGGGAGAAGGGAAAGATTATCATTGCTATTGTGGGATGGGTAGTAAACTGCCTGCCCAACATCAAGTAGGAAGAGAGGAATAAACTATAAAGCCAGGTGTCCCAAGGTGCAGATTTGTGGATTAAGATTGTTCTCTATTTGTTAGCCTTTCAATAGTCGCARTAGCCATAATAATATAATTTTAAATGTCCTAGCTGTATGCCAGTGTGTGAAGTGTTCATTTCTATGATGTAGCAGAGTACTGATTTTAAGAAAGGAAGGAGAGGCTGGTGTAAGTCTTCGTATTATGCTGTTTTTGAATGAAGATCTGTACGAGTACCACAAAATTATGGCTAGCTCTGGGAGCTCRTTGAAGGGTGCAGGAGGGGAGGTGCTTCCAGATGTTTGTTTTTTCTTAACTGAGAATTTAAGTTTTCATGTAGAGAATCTGCTTTTGGACCAGATARGACACCTATGTAAGGGCTTGTTTGTTCCAACAAAAACCAATGCATTAGTATGTTTTAGTTGAAAAGAAACTTTTCTGAGGAGTTGCTCAGTGTTGCTCCTCCTTCCCCGCATTCTTTCAGCGCACGGCTGGGGGACAGCTGGATCACATAGTGCCCGTGGCAGAGGGATCCTGGCAGGATCCAGCCCAGCGCTGCCCCGAGGGGTGCACGGGGAGAGGTGCTCAGTCTACCCCGCTGATCCCCTCTGCAGGGCACGCTGGAGCTCCCTGTGGGAACCCACCATTATAAGAAATGCCAGCGGGCAAGTTCCCACATCCCATCTGCGCCAGCCCTGCCAAAGCCTAGCTTTAGCACAATTATATTCAAAGCATGAGTCACATTTGCGAATCTAATCAGAAAGCAATGGCGAACAAGGCATGGAATCGGCCCTTTACGCATATAAGAAAAACTAATTCAGAGCTGAGAGAAGGGTCATGACAATTAGACAACTTACTTGAACACTTACCTACATTTCTTACTCTCCAAACAGATTTTTTTTTTTAATCATAACAGATTTTGTTGGGGGGGCGGTGAAGCACTTTAGTGTTTCCTCTAAAAAAAGTTACGGTGCAAGTATTTTAGTTAAATGGTGGTGCTATCTGGGAAAACTCAAGAAACAAAACACAGTTTGTCCCTTTTTTTGCACTAAATATTTTAAATGATTTAATATTAAAAAAAAGAAAATATTTTTCTTGATTTCCATTTGTAGAGAAATGTTAACTTAACTTTCTCAGTCTGCCTCACTATTAGTGACTGATTTTATAAAGAAACTTCACTTGAAGCAATAAATTCGGCTCTATATACTATGTGTTCCCAGCTGTAAAGGTAGTTGCAAAACTTCTAGTGTCCACAGAATCACTATGACAATAATTTCACAATCAGATAAGTAGATATGAAACAATAGAATGAAATATATTTCTACCCTAAAGAAATGATAAAGGATAATTTTTAGTTAAAAAGAAAAAGGCAAAAAAAAAAAAAAAAAAAGAAAAAAAAAGCTCACATTTGCCTTAAAAAAGCTCCATCAGAAAATAAGAATAATACTTAAAAAAGGTCTATTTACATCCTATAAACCACATACTTCTTGACTCTAGTTCCAGAGAATTAATTACTTGTATACACTGACAAACCTGACCAGGAATTTGCATTACTCAAGTCTATTTTATCAAAATTAAATATCTGCTTGTTTCTGGGAGGAGGACTGCAAAATAACCCAAATTTCCCTGGTGATATATTATGAATGTTGAAGTTTTCTATACTTTGGTGTCCCATGAAATTAAGAAACACTTGCGTACATATTCACCAAGATTCACACCTGAGCAATAAAAAGCATCCTCCTAGGACCAGAAGAACATGCTGCAGAGTATAGGCAAGCTACATTATTGACAAATCATAATCAGAACACATACTAATCTGTCTCTGGAGATGGTGTTTCTGTGTGGTGTCAGATAAAGCCCATAGATAAATAAAAAGGGAGAGACAAGACTATTCCATGGCCCATCAAATCAACATAGACTACTTCTGTGTTCAATGGAGTTAGAAGTTCATCCAGGGGTTTCTAACAGGGATGTCTTCCAGTGGAACAGTGAGGCTAGCTGCAAACAATAACAAGGCCTGGACACAAATTTTGCAAAAGGAGGCAATCTTTTTTTTTTTTTTTTTTCCTTTTTTTTTTTTTTTTTTTTTTTTTTATAGGGAAAATTTAGAAGGCTCTAAAATACTTTAAAAAAGAAATAAAAAGACAACAAAACCTTTAGAAACAGGGCAACAAAACCTTTAGAAACAGGGCAACAAAACCTTTAGAAACAGGGCAGAAGGACATAAAGCAAAGCAGGTTTGATGGTGGATAAAGCACAGTGCCATTGACCTTGGAATTCTATTGAATACCAAGGTTCACATCTAGACGCAGGTCTCTGGTGAAATGAATTGGGTAACCTCGGCTCAGTTTGGGGATTTATAGTATGTGTGCGTGATAGTAACATCATGACAGACCCTTCTTATGGGAAGCTCTGAAATGAGTGAGGGGAAATATGGTCATGACATAGAAATCCTTCCAGATTAGAGATTGCCAAGCAATCCAGTGTGAATGCAGAGATTTGCAAGCAGAGGGCAGTGTTTCATGCTAATATTGCTAAGCAAGGGATCATTCTTGAAGTGGATGCCTGGAAGATTATTAAAATGTCACTGTTGGTATTGAGAATCCTTGGGGAAGGTCAGTTGCAATTTGAGTCCCTGGAGAGGTCTGCTGCTCTGGGTTCCCCTAAATAAGACCTTCATTTGGCTGCATTTTGAAGGCACTGGAACGCCAGATGTTGCCCCAAGCATTGTTCCTATAGAAGCTGGTCCATAGCTAGAAGTCAGAGCTCCTTTTACACATGATGGAGAAGTCATCTCAGTGGAGGTAGGTAGGTTGATTCCATCGGTACCAAGATCTGTTTGTGACACAGGGAATAAAAAGTACAGTTGCCGTGTTGTTAACTTTTTCCCCTCGAAAATAACATCCCTGCTATTAAGTTTAGAGCCTTAGGCCGGACACTCAGCAGATGACCCTTTACTCTTATAAGAAGTGTGTAGCAAGCCCCTGCCTTTCTAAGTGACACCTTCCAGCATGCTGGTGACTTCACACACTACGTGCCTATTGAACTTCCTCTGCGTAAGAGGAGGTGTGATTCATGGTGTGGGATCATTCGTGACTCAGAAGCCCAGCAGTTATAATTAACACCTCTACTTTTGGTTGGTTTTCCACTAATGTAGCATCCCTGATGTCTAAAGAAAATGCTTTTTTTCCTCTAAAGAAAACCACTGTCCCCAATTCATCTGCCACTGCTATTACTCTGTGACAGCTCTGTGGATGGCACTGCAGGAGAGAAACCTTGCCATGAAGGTCATCTAAAAAGAAACTGTAAAATAAAGTTCCTGTTTCCGCCACACAAAGATTTAGCTAGAATAGTCCTTATAAGTTTCCACTCTTTTTGTTTTTAGAACAAGATCAATATAGCAAGAAAAACTGGATTTTATATTCATCCTGAAGCAGAAAAAGAGCCATTTCTCAAGAAGCTTCAGGTTAGAGTTGAAGCTTCATGTAACAGCATGGCATCACATAGCTTCCTAGATGCCCTTCTCTTTACTTTTCTCCCTAACCCTCCAATGCCCTTGACAAAGAGTATACTAGGCATCCCCCTGCCTTACCCTGAAGAGTTGAAACCGGATGAGTTCATTGCAGCTTTGGAGTTGCTTTGTGCTGCGCTGGGGCTGCTGGCATGGAGCGCACTGCCAGGGGACGAGGGCCTGCTGGAGTTCCCAGGGGAACATGAGGATGTCACTGTGTAGTCGGAGAAAGGAGAATGAGGCTTGGCTCCACTTTCCTGCCAAAACTCCCGCCATCCTTTATCCATCCCATTGCTTTCCAGATCCATTGCCTGCCCTGCAGCAGCAAGGATGTTAAATCTGCTAGGACTGCCYTCTCCATCCCAAATTATTTCTATGAGAATTAATTGTCCCTCCAGAAGGAGATTCTGCTCATGTTTGGACATAATATTGTCTCTAGGAAGCTTTCCACATTTTTTTTTTTCCAGAAAAGAGAAAGCCTTGGTGGTTCATACCCCTTGTATAGCAGTTATCTGGGGCTATTTTCTCCAGCCAAAAYAAGGGGCAATTAAGAGTAGTCTGTAATCATGGCTTAGAAACAGTCCAATCACAGAGCAAGAGCAAAGAAAGGAGGGAAGAAAATGGGACATGGCACTGGCTTGGCATGGCTTACCAGTCCCAGGCATGGTGCTATGCACTGGATTGACGGAGAGGGGCCCCAAGGACCCTGAGGTAGAGACCTGGAGAGGAACAGAAGAAAGCAGTGAGCAGTTGATAGGAGGCACTGCCTTTGGGGTGTCTCAGACTGGATACCCTCAGCCCGGTCGTGGGCACCAGTAATTGCTTCTCATTTGTTCCTTTGAGGAGTCCTTGCCAGGTGAGAAATCTCAGGTGACAATTAGTATGGGGTGCCTGTAATCAAGGCAAGCCTGAGGCATCTGCTGTTCAACTGTGGTACTCTACATGTGATGTATTGTTCAGAATGGCTGATGAGCAAGCACATACTTCATATGGCATAGTCACAGAAAAACTATTCATTAAATCCACTGCTTTAAAAATTCGTGGCTTGCCAGCAGTGCTTTAGCTTTGCAACTCTAAACCAAATGTGTTATGCAACAAGTGGCCAAACTTCTTGTGATATTTGCCTGCCTTCTGATGGACCATTTGTCACTTGTTGCACAGAAGATTTCCAGATAAAATATGCTTGCAAATATGTTCTCTCCATACCATTCACATCTGTCCCAGCACCAATAACACTGCAGGGAGGTTCCTGTCACTTTTATATATGGAAGCAACCTATTAACTATCAGAAACACAATAGTATCTTGGTTTTGGCAAGCCCAGCTGCATCCSTCCTCACTACTACAGATACATTTGCCCACTGGGCTGTGGGATGGACGTGCATGAACTCAGGGTCTTGTGTCCACAAGGAAATGTCTTGTTCTGTTCCTTCTGAAATAAGCCCTGATGCTTCTCATTCCACCCTTTCCCCTCCTTGCCTGGAATAGCCTGTAGATCCCCTTAATACAATGTCTCTTACCAGTCTGGAATTGTAGATGGGTGATTTAATGGGAGATGGCATTGGGCAGCTGATCCGTTTTTCCTTCTGGCGCCGATTGCAGAACCAGACCCGAACCACCTCCTTTTCCATGGAGAGCTGCTCTGCTATTAAGGAGATCTCCTCTGAGCTGGGCTTGGGGTTCTGCTAAGAAAAGGTAGGAGGTTAAAGAAAGGCCTGAAGAATTCTACCCAATGCTTCTGCTATTTGAAAGGCAGGAGAACAAGAGTGGGTTTGGCTGCAACTTGGTGAAAGAAGAAAATTTGCTTTTAAGGCAAAGAGTAAATATTTGGGTGGGAGATTTTGTTCTCTGAACCAGAAAGTACCTGTTATTCAGCATAAAGTTTCATGAAATCAGTGGTGATGAATCACTATACCTGGCCCTGTTATTGCATAAAGCACCAAGTTCTTTGATCTTAACAGCACCCTCAATCATTGCTTAAGGGAAAACTAATGACTAGTAGCCTTGTTATGACTATATAGGACACGTGATCTCTGGGCACTGTTTGTACACTTACCTGAATCATCTGAATCATCTCAGAAGAGACATTTCCACTCCTTTTTCCATCCACCATTTATAAATGCAAATAATAGTAACTATCCTTTTTTTTTTTTTTTTTTTAAATCCACTTATTTTCTAGTGTGTTTAATAGTATTTAGCTCTATGGAATTTGATCTGTTTTGGAGACTTAAGAGGAGAAAACACATATTGCTGAGGCGCCAAGGCATTTTCCCTTACACAGAACACCTCATACTAGCTAAAAATGAAGTATCCAAAATAATCTGAGAAAGATGTATTTGTTTCTTATTAACATCTTTCAGAGGAAAGATGTATTTGTTTCTTATTAACATCTTTCAGAGGAAAGTTTGACCTGATCAGATATGAGGGAGAAACCAAGGACAGTTCAAAATTATTTTTGATGAATTTTTTTCAATGGGTGACTTAGTTTTGCTGAATTAAAACCCTGTTTGCTTTCTACTGCAATTCTCATCGAAAAACTGAATGCTTGAAAAATAAAAGATTCCACTTCTGAAGTGACTCGGGAACTCCACCCGGAGTAACTAGCTCTATCCCTTCCTGCTTTCACCCTCTCTGCTGGCACAGGATCTGCTTAACAGAGCCTCCACTTCCTGTGATGCACCAAGTTCCCATGACCCTCAACCTTAACTCACAAAGAAAACGGGCTGATGTATGCTAGAAGATCAGCTTGGATCTGGGGCAGTGATCAGTGGAAGAGAAAATGTAGTAATGAAAATGCAATTTCTTCAAAGAAACGTTCACTGAGAAATAACTTGGTTTGATTTCTTTGCTTTGACTTTTCCTGTTAATGCATTCAAGCATTTTTAACAAGCTATCACAATGAGCAAAAAAGAAATCTATTACTGAGACTTGGCAAATGCCAAACTCTGAGGGAAAGCTCAAAACATGTTAAAAGATTTTCCTCTCACATCTTGAAATCTTTTCTCCAGTGTGGAACGAATGTTGGTCTCAATGCTGGTTCGTTTCTTTCTTTTCCGTCCAAACATCTCATTAACAGAGGGGTAGGAATTTGGAGTGCTCATGGAAGAATCCAGAGGGGCAGATTCTGGAGAGAGAAGGATGAGAAAAGAGATTTTGAAGATCATCACTTGTTTTCATTTCCAGATTGTTTCTGGGGACTGTGGCCATTCCTAAAATGATCAACAAGTTCCTACAATGCAGACCCCTTCTCCAAGGGAGAATATTATTAAAATTGCTTCAGAAGTCTCATATTTGTCAAGGACCTTGTCTATATCAGGAAACAAAACCAGTGATAAAACTTTAATCTAGCCAGTTCTGTAGAGCACTACATATTTTCAAATGATGTAGTTTCATACCATTAAAGGTTTTGACTTGCATCACTAGGATCAAGCCTCACGTGGCTGAGGCATCTCCTGAGATGATAAATCGGTTGAACATGCAATTCCTGAAGGAAGTTTAAAGCTGGGTCAAGCACACCAGACAACTGCCACTCCTACGCGGATTTGCAGGCCATGGGATAGCAAGCCAATGCTGTTGTTACTGGGGATTCCCCTTGCAGTAATATCTTCTTTTTCTAATTACTGCTCATGAGCTGATCTAAGTGCTTTGAAAGGAGTCCCTTCCTACTCTTTCCAGGTCACACAGGGAGGGACTGAATGGACTAGCCCAGTGACTTGCCCGAGGCCATCGAACAGAGCAACAGCCAGTGCACGTAAGGACTGCCCGAGACGATTTGCAACATGAAGCTTAGATTACTACAGTGAAAGCATACATGCGGTTTGATATCTAGATTCTTATGCAACCTACTGTGTAATACACAGAGGAAATCAGTCTGTAACCAGCTCAGCCAGAGAATCGGAAGGCCATAGCTCCATACTCCTGCTTTTTTTATATGAGATCCTTGGATGGATCTTCTTTTGTACTTGCCAAGACCAGTGCCATTTCTGTACACAGCTATGTCACTTACCTGCATCACTCAGCCACTTCTCCAGCAGTGGTTTGAGCTTGCACATATTCTTAAAGCTCAGGTTGAGGGCCTCGAAGCGGGAGATGGTGGTCTGGCTGAAATCGTTGCCATACAGCTTCCCCATGGCAAGCCCGACGTCACCCTGCCGGAGGCGATCCGAATCATGACATGAGCCAAGAATTCCCCGCCTCGACAGCTTTCCTCTGTCAGACCACATTTCAGATCACTTCCCAAATAGATGCAGCCTACTCTCCATCACCTTGGAGGATACTCCAAGGAAAACAGATCTGTATCTAATCCATCCCCTTCCGCTATCCACTCCTCCACCAGTGACTCCTCCATGGTACTTGTCCATGTCATGTAACATCAACATACCCATTCCCAAAGATGTTTACCTGTGTAAACCCTAATTTGATTCGCCTCTGTTTGAATGTCTTAGCAAATTTTTCCAGCTCCTCCAGGTCACTGGGTTCTTCTGATGCGCCTGAAGGAGTTAGGTGCTTTGCCACTTGCAAATGCTGGGGTACATCCAGGTGGGGTTCGACTGATGAGCCAGGGAGTCCTGAACGGCCCATAGCCTGATAAAAACAAACAAAACAGCATAGAAAGTGTCAATAACAGAAGAAGAAAAAAAACAAAAACAAAGCTGGTGGGATGAATAGCTTTTTAATTTTAATGAGGTAAAAGCATACGAGGCAACTCTTGGACAAAATCATGGAAATAGAGAGGAGTGCCATGATGAAAAAAGGAGAGATAGAACAGCCTAACATTCAGTTATTAGCATTCAAGTAGTCTGACTATTTGGCTCCTTCTAGAGCAGCCTTGAGTGAGGAAGCAAAGAGCAGTGTAAGGAGACAACCTCTCTCACTGCCTGGGTATGAGCAAGGCATGTTAAACCTGTGAGCTTGGACTGCATCGGCAAGCGGGTACAAGAGGAAGAGGGAAAAAGTGCTTAAGTTAGGACAGAATTAGAAGAAATTTGCTTCATGTATATTTGCTATTGACCTGAGAACCCTTGGTRAACAGTAATGTGGTGCCTCGGTTTCCTTCAGTCCACCTATCCCCCAGAAAGGCTGTGTGCAAGTTACCTGTGATGCTAAGCTGGGTCCTGGCTGAGAGAGGAGAAGGCTGCCCTGTTGCTGAGGGAATGAAAGGAGATTTGGCTGCAAAGCTGGGGAGAGAAAAAGATGCATTTAATCAGACCAGCTCCTTCATCAGCACACAGACAGCTGTACATCAGACTGTGCTCTGCACAGAAAGGCTTAAGGAGCTCTGAACACAATATCTCATTCAGCRCTCGCTCAAAATAACAGACTTTTGACAATTACAAATGCAGATGGCTCTAAGGAAAGGATCTTCCCATGTTTTCTTTTTAGCCTGAAAGTTATTATTACAATAATAATGCAGGTAAAACATTTCACCCACTGATCCATGCACCCATCTTACTAGCCTGGGGTTGAAATAGGACACAGGTATTTTACATGTGACTTAGCTTTTAGACGTGTGACTTAGCTTTTAGAAAGATGCCAGAGAGCCGAGAATTTATTGCAGCCTTAGTAGTGATTTCCCCCAATACTTAAACCACTGTAGCTATTAAAAATGTGCATCTTATTTCCAACTTCAACTTTCAGCTACTTGATTTTATTAAAAATATCCTGATAGTAGTGTTAATCTCATGAGCCTATCCAATCTACTTACTATCATGCAATTCATTTAAAAGTGATRTTTTGAAACCATCTGACCCTTTCTTTTCTACCTTACTATATTTCAAATAAATTGGATTTCTTTTGGAATACATAAACTGACACAAAATGATGAAAGGAAGAAAGAAAAGAAATATACAAAACTAACAACAAATATTTATGGAGACTGTGTAAATGTTTAGTTGACAAATTGCCATGTACAAGCCTATATCTCTTCCAGGGACAGTCCTAACTTAATGATGGAAGTAGTATATCTCCACAGAAATTTAGTTAGGTTTTACAAGTCCATTGAAGTTGATGYCTATACAATTCAGTGAGGGAGGGTTTTTAACCTTTCTTAAAACAGTCAATATATTCTACTGATTTTAGCTGACAATAATAGGAAAATTGTAGAAACATATGAACTTCTTAAAAAAGGACAGAGAGGAGAAAAGATATCTAGAATTTCTCCCATCCTCTCTCCTCTCAATCCTTTCTTAGCTTAGATATGTATGTGCAGGATTCCATTTATTTATTTAGATTGGTGTCGCAATGAGCCTTCTCTAATGCTAGCACAACTTTGAATTTCAAATGCAGGCTGGTAATGAGGTGCACTTTTTTAACAGTGAAGGTAATTAATCACGGGAATGGCTTGCCTAGGGACATGGTGGATGCTCTGTCATTTGGAGTCTTTAAAATCATGATTGAACATTTTTGCAAAAGTGAAGCTCTAGCTAGATTTAAAATTATGGACAGGATTCAGGAATCACTGGTTAGACAGCTGATGTGACCAAGGCTGTATTTTTGCAAGATTAAATCTTCAGCAGTGATAGTATGGCTGAAAGGATTCTCAGCATCTCCCTGGTTGCCTGTTTCACCACCATACACCACAGCTTTACACCATAGCTTCCTGAACCCCTTCTTTAAATGTGTCAGGATTAGCTGTTGAAAGGGTTGCAAGTTGAATTGGATTAGGGCATAACAAGCTACACCAGAGAATCAAATTACTGTTAAATATATTCAAAAGTAGTTAGCTTTCCCTTCCTCTCTAGCTTCTTGAGTGAGATTTGGGAACAACCACTGGTGGTTTTAAACATCTTGGGTCATTCCCAGCCCAAAGGTGCTCCTCACTACATTAGACCAGTTGTCCTGGTGCCAGCACTATTCTTTCACCTAAGTGGCTGAAGTCGTCTTCCCTTAGTTTAGTCTTCTTCTAAAGTACTTCTGTCAACTCAACCACTCGCTAGGTTTCTGCAGTAAATGAACATACTGTTAACCCAATGAACCTGAACACCTGGGCAGGCATCACAAAGAAGCAAGCTCCATGCTGGTTTACTGAAACCCAACTGGACATTGTCTTGAATTTCAGACAGGCGCCCTAGGAGATCTGCAAAGCCTGGCCCCAAGGTGGCACTCTTGATGCACACAAGCTGCAGATGCTATGAGCATCTCCAGAGCTGAATCTGTCCTGTAGCCTCTACATGTGCAAGAGCTCATTCCAGGTGTGGGAACAAACACAGGGGGAAAACTGGGGAGGAGCAGGGGGAAATGTGTCTGGTAACAGAAGAACAATCATGCTGGGAAAGTTGTAACAGAACAGATTCAAAGCACAGCCATGACAATGGAGGCTCTTGCTAGATATGCATCTGCTTATAATGACACCCTCTTCCAGCTTTTATTGCTCTTACCTTGTTGACCTGCCTGGGACTGAGAAAGAAGAAACTGGGGGACTGACTGCATGTGACCTGGAAGCAATACAAGCTGCTGCAGAGTATGAAGAGAGCTCATATCCTATATGGAAAAGCATAGGGGAAAAACATCAAAAAATCTTTTCTTTTCTCAACAATACCACTCCAGTAAAGCTCCTCAACTCTTTTTTTTATACAACACTACCATGTGAACTCTCTTTATTCCAAATAGGCTGTTTTTAGAGGATAGTCTCTCTGAAATTATACAAAAAGAAGTGGCTGACCCATCTCACAAGCACCGAATGAATAATTTTTGCAAAATGCTGATTTTCCAGCCAGAAGGTGCTGAGATGGTTAGGAGGTAAGGCCCTTCATCATCTGACTTTATACCACCAACAGCTTCTCAAGCTGATTCAGATCAAGAGTCAATCTAGCTTAGGACCCTATCTCCAACAATGGCATTAATCACACATTGAGGAAAGAGGAAGACCATGGCAAACATATCCTACATCTCCCTTTTGTGTTCTCAGCATCCACAATTATTTTCAGTTAAAGGGATTTCCTGATGATTGGTGTGGTTTGCCACTTAGTAACCCTCAAATGAAATCTCTTCCAAGAATGTGTCCAGTCTGCTTTTGAACTCATGTAAAGCTTTCTTCATCCTTTGGAAGGGCATTACACAATGGCTACTGGCTGCTGCAAAAGAGACTAAGGAGAAATCTGGTTTTTGCCAGAGATTCATCATTTCCAAATTTGGGAGAAAATCATGTCCATCATATCCTCAAGTCTCCTTTTGCTACTGTCAAAAACTGAATCTAATGTGGCAAGTCTCTCTCCACAACTGCCTTTACTCTGGAGATTCCTTTGTGCCATTTAGGGTTTTTGGATTCCTSGATTTGCACAATCACTTACCCCTGCTATTTGGCTTCCCGGCATCATTGAAGATCCCTGTACAAGATGACCTGACCTGGGGGGGATTGCAGGTTGCAAGGTGTCGCTGAGGTCTTCAGTTTTAATCTGGAGAAGAGCACAGTAATTGTAGCATTAGGAAACTGTCAGAAATAGAGAGGTATAGAAAGTTAGGGATTTAAGCTAGGTAACTCTTTTTAGAGAAAAGGTAGAGGGAGAGGCTGACTCCATCTCTGGTTTTTCAGAAAAGCATAGGTCATTTTGCATTTTTGTTTCCCATTCTGCAGCTCGGGCATATTTATTCTGCTCTGCCAAACCAAGAGAGGGTCTGCAGTTTGCTCAATTCAAACACCTTAAATAAAGCATTTTAGAGAGCACCCAACTTAGGAACTTTTAAAGCACATCATTGAGTGCTTTCCTCAGACAAGGCATTGACATTTCCACATTTTGTAAAATTATTAAAAAGACAGAAGGCAATTTTCCTTTACAGATCACCATTTACTATCCTGTTGCACGTTAGCTATAGATGTCTTCTCATTTTGTTCTATAGGCTTTTGTTCAAGGGCCCTCCAAGCCTTTGTCCAAGGGTCACTTTGCTCAACTTAAATGATCAAGAATACTTTTTTCTAAAAAAATCAGGATTTGTGAGTCTACACTCTAAAGAGCAACATTTGCCCAGAGACCAGAACTGAATCTTTGAATCTGGTTATTTCATGTTCTCAATGTTCATTTTTAACATTGCTGCTCTGTGAGAAACTTATCCCATAACTTTTTTCTAGCTAGCGTCTTGTTAAAACCAACTCAGCCAGGAGAGAGGGGTCAGGAAAACTATCTAGGAGATTTTAAAACTTTTTCATTCATTAGTTTAAGAAAGCTCTCTGAGTTTCTACTCTCAGATGCCACTCAAGAGAAAAAAAAAAGTCTTATGGATCTCTTCTAGGGTGTCTTTTCTAAAAAAAGAATACCAAAAAAAAAAAAAAAAAAAAAAAAAAAAAAAAAAAAAATCCAATCTTAGACTCACATAATTCTCAAGTCTGAGAATGCTTGGAACAAGGTTCAAATCAGTGGTTCCATTCCTAATCTAAGCCTTTCCAGCACGGGAAGCTGCTCCAGCTACCACAATCTGGAATAGCCTGCAAAGCACCAGGATGGACAGGTCTTGAAACTGCTGTCCATGGGTTCAGCAACACACACACACAGGCACTCTTGCTACCCAGGCTAAGCCTCAGCATCTGCCATGAAATAACTCCAGAGTCCCGTATCCTCAAAGAGACCAGTAGCTCCTTTTGCCCACATTTTGCAGCACTGATATGGACTTTAGTTTATCCAACCTCTTACCAGCAGAGGGTGACAAGAAATTCACCTTTGAGAAGGTGAATTCTCAAGTAAACGTTTTGTCCAAGGGAGCTTTTATTTCAATTCAATGTAAAGCAAACAAATACAGAAGGCTCCACAAGAGAGACAGCAAAGGAAAAAAACGTCAGCACGAGAGGTTCACAGCTCACATGCAAGGAACTGGCCCTATAAACATGAATCTCTGTGTTGCAGAAGGAGTTGTGCAGAGAGAATTACAACATCTCATTATAGCTATAGCTCCGGACACTGCCGAAACTAGTTTTGCAATGATATTAGTTCCTTACAACAAGACTTATACATGGTATGAATTCCAGTTCTTTCCTACCTTTCATGTTGGCATGATCGTTGCTCTTAGCTTGACAAAAAAAAAATCAGAAGGAGAGAACTTCTTGATCGCTATCAAAGTGGATAGCGTTTAACTTACTAGATGTTAGATGAAAGGCTAAGGAAAATACACTGTTACCCCTGAGCCATCCAGTCACCCCAGACAAATGGTCTTATGTAGGCTTTTCTTTCCAAGGGCGCATTAAAATAATAAAATAATAAAATAAAAAAATAAAAAGAGAAAAAAAAAAGAAAGAGAAACAAAGAAAGATGCACCCAAGCCAAAAGTAAAAATAAATAAAAAAAAAATATATTACCCCTGCTTGCAATTCATGTGTTTCAGCCTCATATAACGCAGTCATCCAAGTCTGAACAGCCCCAAAAGAAAAGATATTAGCGTCTTAGAGAACCAGGCACTTGATCCTGTCTAAGTTAAGATCCCAATAGCAGTGGAGTGCTGAAGAACGAGCCATTTCCAAACTGAAATCAATTTTTACAGCTGCCAAACGGAATGATTTGGAAGCATTCCAGGCTGAAAGGGGTGTGTAGCTGCATCCCGGCATCGCACAACATGAGAACGGGAGGTGGGTTTGGCAAAGGACTGGTTCCCAATTTAAAAACAACAACATCTCCCACTGCTCCTTCCCCCGTCCCTGGAATTCTCTGGGTTTTGCTTGTGCAGTAGGCGGGAACCTGGGTGTTCCCAACAAATCGTTCTCCTCGGCACCTTTTTTCATTGGTTTTAAACTCAAATTTACTTCTCCCTCCTCTTCCTCTCCCCAACAGGCCTGCAGCTGGCTAATTGTTCATTAGTGCGACTTCAGAATATATCCCAAACCCAACGTTTGGGATGGTTTATGCAAATCCTACACTTTCATTTTTTCCCTGGCTAGACCAGCCTTATTACCAACTGTATGTTAAAAAAACAAAACCCCAAACCCCAAAAAACCACACACATTGTGGGCGAGGTCGCTCACTATCATGAGACTCCCTTAACATAATGTAAATTCGTATTAGTAAAACAAGAGGAGAAGTTGCCTCCTTCTTTCTCAGTGCTTCTGAATCATGTTTGCAGGCTTTTTTTAATAAATGAGAGAGAAAATGTTCAGTATAGCCACCAGAAGAGTTGAAACTAYCACAGAATCACCTCACTTACGCATAATATAAGACCCATGATACAAATGAGCAGTAGTGATTTCATTAATTGCATTTAACCCAAACTTACTGCCCAGGACCTTGGTTTTACAAGACAATCAAGGCAGACGAGGGCACTGGGAACAAGAAGCCACTGAAAACAAATATAGATTTTTTCCTACTGCATTTGATTTGGGGAAATTATGCAATCTAAGGGAAAATGCACTTGTAAAATAGTGGGTGAAATGACRCATGGCAAAATTTCAGGCTCTCTCCCAGCTGAAGAGAGGTGCAGAGCCTGTATTGTCTGCTGCAAACCTGCAAACGAGTGCCCCTTGGCCTGGCGGGGAGTCTACAGGCCGTGGTGGGACCRGTCCAGAGCTCCTCTGGAGGACGCAACGGCAGGTGGCGGCACCAGTATGCAGACTGGTGCCGAGGGCTTCTCCAGGACACAAAAGGAATCCCACTTGCCAATCTCAAGTGGATGTTTTCGTGGCCTTAAAATAGGGTCAGCTGCCCCCAAGCAAACAAGGAGAAAAACACAGGAAGAGTGACTGGATGGAAATAGCGTCCCATCCTTGGCTGGCTGGAGTATCTGCTGGGCCTGGCCAATGATGGATTGTTTCTTACCTATCTCTGGCCTAAAAACAAAAACAAAAAGCAAAACAAACTAAGAAACATATTGAGGGCGATGGAAAATGATCAAAGCTCTTCAGCTTGCTTGCGTAACCGATTTGTGGAAGGTGTTTCATAAACATTTCATAAGAAGCAGAATTATGAAGAAAACATCTCCCAACCTGCCTGCAATTACTGCAGAGACTCTTCCTTACCAGTAGGAAGAAGGGGAGAGAAGAAAAAAAAAAGTACATCTGTTTTGTAACTGATCTGTGAACTTTTGGCAAACATTAGGCTCATGAAAACATCCTGAAGACATATTGCAAAGCTGTAAAGAAATAGCCTTACATGAGGAAGTTGGAAAGGTTCATACTAGCAGCTCCGATCTCACCGCGTGGAAGGCCATACCCTTGTGAGACAGACAGACAGACCGACCGACTGACCCACATTTGATCCAATCAACTGACAGCTGGATGCCATTGGTTGGACAAGATGTTGGCTGCAGCCCTCTTTGTTTTAACCCAGCTCTGCTACCCTGCTTGGATTTGCAACTTGACAGGCTTTATAAGCTGCCTATGTTYGATAGCAATTCGATAAGTAAACGGAGCAGCAACAGCTGAATGGTCACTGCTCACTGGCGATCTAAATCGCTCCTCATTGCCTGTCGGACACCAAAACCAAGAGCCTGAACACAGCCCSAAGCTAAGCTACCTCTTTTTGATGAGCACTCCTCATGTCATGCTAGTACAAACTGTCATCCTTATCGCAAAGGTGGGATGACCAGCTGGTTCAACATCCAGCTTGGATGCTATCCCCAAAGCCAGATCACTCTTCCCCCTACCCTGCCAGATTGTGGACATTCAAGCCACAACTGCCTTCTTTGCGACCAGTTATTTGGCTGGAGCTGTGACTACGACTCTAAGGATGAACTCTGGACACAAAGACAATCAAGCTTGTTATGTAGTTTCTATTTAGATGGTAACCTCTTTGAAACAGATATTTATCTACCTTCACATCTGGCTTATCTCGCAGTCAGTAACTCACAATTGTTTAAGAATCTGACTTACTCATTCCCCGCCCCCCATCATGAATCTCTATGACTTTCACTGGAAAGAAAGGAAGCTGGTGCACAGAGAATTAAGGGGGTCTGAATTAACTTCCCTCTCCAAGAAAGACCAGCGGGGTTCTCACTTGACTCCAAATGTTCCCAAAGTGCTATTTAACATGACAAGGTTGTCTGAAATTGCCCTTGAAGCTATTTGCCTGAAGTCAGGGGATGAAGTTTTATGATAGAAACAAGCATCCAAATTAGATCCATGACTATTTCAGTTAACTAAGCCTTCCCACCTCCAATGGCGTAAGTGCACTTCTCTGTGAATTACCTGCACACGTGGGCACCATAAAATAAAAAACACACTAATAATAAATTATAGCAATAATAATAATGGGCTTGCAATTACTATTTCCACATGTACCATCCTGCACGTACAGTAAGGCTTAATAGACACCTAGGAAAAAGGCAGAAAACCCTTATGTCAGTGGAATGATGTTCATGTATATACTTTGATATCCTTTCATACTGCAGGGTGGGATTTTCAGAAACTGCTAGGATGACAGAAGCAGAAGTAATCCCACACTGAATGCCAAACAGACTGCATCCTAAAGCTCAGCAATGACAG